TATTGGAAACAGAGAGACACCCAAAACGGCTGAGATAAAGGAATGTAGAAAACTCTATGAGCTGCTGAGAGAGAAAAACAAAACTGTGGTCCTACAATGGATTCCTGGTCACTGTGGCATTAAAGGCAATGAGCTTGCTGACACACTTGCTAAGAAGGGGACAACGATTTTGCAATGCATGGACCGGCCGATGTCTTTCCACACAATGAAGGCCTTAATCAGGAGAGAATTCCAGACCTCAAGGTTCAACGAACTCGAAGCTCGAACAAAGGAGAAACAGTGGACAGTGGCACTCTCCGACATAGCCGACTGGCCAAGAATCGAATCCGTTGCTGAGTTCAGACTACGTATCGGACACGATTGCTTGGCAAAACACCTTCACAGATTGGGAGTATACACTCAACCCACATGCCCTCTATGTAACCTACAGGAGGAAATGGAGAAGACCCACCTGATTCGGTGTCTAGCCCTAAAGACAAGGACGGAAAGCCAAAAATACTGGGAAGCAAGAAGACAGCTAATGAATTGCTATTGATTAACTGCTATAAATGTACCCCCCCCCCTCTTGGGGGAAGCTGAAGTCAAAGATTAAGGGGTAATGATAAATATCATAAAGCCTGCCATTTGAAAAAAATAAATTTCTCAATCCACTTCGAAACGCATGTGTTATAATTACCTCAAGTCAATATGTGCGTAAGTGTATTTAAGCGAGTGAATAGAATTTAGAATCCTCGCAATGAAAAGGATATCTACTTTCGGAATAATTTACACATTGAGAAAAAGATAACAAAGTAATGCCAATTTCCCACTTCCAAGCTCAGAATGTTGGTTGACTTCTTATTGACTAATTGGATATTTTACCTACACGGGGTGTGCGATAGACCTATTTCCACGTTGTGCACCCTGGGCAACGTATACTCATACGGCAAATCCGTAAACCGGCAGTTGACTTCTGACTTCAAACTACCATCACTTTAACTGGCAGTTGACTTCTGACTTCAAACCACCATGACCTCACTAAACTGGCAGTTGACTTCTGACTTCAAATTGCCATCACCCCAAAACCGGCAGTTGACTTCTGACTTCAAACTACCATGACCCAACCGGTAGTTGACTTCTGGCTTCTAACTACCACCACCCCGCTGTATGTCATATTCGACAACTTATACAGTACTCACCTCACCTTTTTTCTACCTTTGTGTCTGTCTCTTTTACATCTTTACATCTCCTCTGTGAAGCCTGAGGTCAAATAAGGGGCTAATGATAACTATCAAAACGCCTGCCATTTGATATAAATATTTGATTGAGTTGTACAGCATTGACAAATGAGCAGTTACCGCCGTTTCGTCCTCAATGTCTAGCATTTATTAGTAGGCTTTTTGTCTTGATATCCTTTTAATCCGCACCCATTATCATTTACCAAACTCTCTGGTAGCACGTGTAATCAAACATAATACCATTGTCACCACTTCCTACATATGGTCCCTCTTCCCAACCTGATCTCTGACCCTTTCCTCATTAAATTCTCGTTTCGTTGAATTGAGGTGATGGTTGCTAGACATCAGGAGAGAGTGATAATTCGTCTGGCTTTTGTACTCACTTAGGTAACTGGTCGATACATCCTCTATTGTCAAGGATTCAGCCGTGATTTCGTTTACCTTATTCTCGAAAATTCATTATCGTTTATACCGATTCTCGAAATTTTCGTTAACGCAAAATAAAGTATTGTTATATCTCATGTATCAACCAACTACTCCAGCCATTCTAAATCTCAGACCAAGTAGTAGCGCAATAACCGGAGTATTTACAAAGTCCGGTGGTCTTAGTAACACGATCTAGTTTCCACTAAAATATGGTAGATATAATTAAAGTAAAGGCAGAATTCTTGTGTTTCTTTGAAGAAAAATATATCCAGGACACATATTGTCTTAAGAAAACGTCATCGAGGCAATACATTTAACAGTCGTGTCAACTAAGAAACGATTGTAGAAGAGATTGTTTTAGCATTTATTTAGATGTTTCTTACGGCGTCATTCTTATAACTTACGCGATTTCGTAAACATCTTGGAGACTATACAAACGCATCTGCGGAATTGCTTAATAAAATAAAATTAATGTTAATTTTTTTCTTTTAATTGTTGCCAACTTGAGTTAATGATATAACTGGCTACTACTTTATTAACGGACTGATACAATACGAGCTGAATCTTGCATATTGATAAAAGTAATTATAAGCTTTTAGAATAATGTACATATGATTTTCTTTATTTTGGAATAGATTATAAGCACTTTGATGTTAGCGAAATAAGTGAAGAATAGCGATAAAAAACTGACGCGAATTCAAGGGTCGAGAAGAAAACTGAAGCGATTTGGTGTTTATGTTTTCTTAAATAATGTTACGGGAACGCTTTCCACCAGAACCATTTGGATGTTTATTCGAACCAGGGCGTTTATTAGGTCGATTCAAACCCGGGGGTTTTGGAAATGATGGACGATGATGGTGATGGTGATGATGGTGATGTTTATTATTATGCTTGTCATCATCGTCGTCATCATCGTCGTCATCATCGTCGTCATCATCGTCATCATCATCGTCGTCATCGTCATGGTCATCATCATCATCATCATGATCATCATCATCGTCGTCGTCTTCAATTTCAACTTCGTGGTCGTTAGTTGTAGCTCCAACACCTCCACCAATTATGGGAGCTTTGGTTGTGGCTGCGTGATTACCGTTGTGGCCATTAGTTGTAGCTCCAACACCTCCACCAATTATGGGAGCTTTGGTTGTGGCTGCGTGATTACCGTTGTGGCCATTAGTTGTAGCTCCAACACCTCCACCAATTATGGGAGCCTCAGTTATGTCTTCGTCGTCGTCTTCATCGTCTTCGTCTTCAATTTCAACTTCGTGGTCGTTAGTTGTAGCTCCTGCACCTCCATTTATTATAGGTCCTATGGTGGTTTCTTCAACGTCACCCCCTGATTCAGGATTTTCCGTTGTTGTTGTAGTTGTAGTCTTGTTGCATTCAATTCCTCCGGTAATGTTCAACTTATTCAGTATTTCTATGCATGTGCCGTTAGGATTTTTCAATTCGGAGCACAATCTACCCAATTCCTTTAATCCTGAATCCAATTGAGCTTCAACCTTGACATTAATCTTTATAGCAGGCAATGCTGTAATTGTAGCTACTACAAAGCCAGCAACAAAAATCCACATTATATTGCCACCCATGTTTCCGGTGTGAGGCTAGATAAGACGCAATGCGAGAGTCCTCAGCTCTCCTTTTTATACGTTACCACACTCTTCAAGTTCCATTTAGGCGCTCTTATCCGATTTGTGCGCGCTTTGATGGAGCGATTTCAAGGTCTGATATGAATGTGTGGTAGATGCAAATATGTGGAATGAATTTCATGATGAATTTCTCTGATACCCTTGATTACTTTGTGTTTAAAATATTGGTATTTCTATTATTTTCTCTTCTATTGTTTTCTACCTACTACTACATACAGAATTAGGCAATTTAAAGTTCGTTTCAACATTTTGCTACTATTTTAAGTCTTTGCTACTCTTTGTTAGACATTTTATTCATTTTCTAGTCCAAAATTTGTGTAATCTCGTGTCTAAAATTGACAGATTTTTTCCCTAATTTCACTCGGATTTTACCGAAATTGAGGTAGTTTTTGTAGATTATTTTAACATGTTTTGACATTATTGCATTCACCACCCCCCGTCCACATTCCATAACTACCGGGGTTTTCCGAAAATCTGCCCAAGATGGTTAGACGGAAATTTCTATTTCACGAAACTATTGCTGGTTTCAAATAACCGCCCAATCGAATTTAGTGACCGTGGGTTCCCATTCGGATGGACGAACTTTCGGAAAATCCCGGATAATTCCATTTCATAAGTTGAAGTGAACAAACTTATTCAGGTGAAGTATTTATTTGATTCCTATTTTATTAAATTTTAATACAGATTGAAATGCTTCTTGCAGGTAATCACCTTGAAATATCAATTTGTCTACTGTTACTCCGTCGTCATTATTTACATGCAATTTATTTCCCTGATTTTCTCCCCATGAACCTGTTTTCTTCTTGGCTTCTGCAGTGTGTGGCAAAGACAAGAGAGGTCCAATGCGATGTACCATAATGAAATTGAAACCAAGCGCTTGTGTAAGGTTACGTCAAATGTTATATTTACCACTTTTAAATATAAGCATACTCTTAACTTTTCCTTTCTGTATACATACGGGCATCTTCTGAATACCTCGTTTCCTTTCTATGGTATAAACATTTTTTGCGAATTCGTTTTCTTTTCGGAAATCAACACTTCTCAATTTTCGACGTAAAATATATATGCCTAAAGCCATCTGTTATTTTACGGAAAAATAACATCTTTCTGCCTATTGAATGGTACTAAGATAAAAGCAATTGGGCCTGGTTTTCTTCTGGTCTTAAGGTGGGTTTCAGTTAAATGTTTCCTAACATTTTAGGAGTAATAAATACGCTACGGTGTCATTCACTATAATCTGTCTGTTAAACATGTTAAAGCACATTTTCTATAGTAAGACATTTCAGCCATATGGAATTTTGAATCAACCTTATAGCCATCATTTCAGCTCGTTAAGGTTTACTTTTTATTCATGGCAAAACAAAGCATATTGTAATCTGCAGTCCCGAAGAATGATCTGAATATCAAATGAGGAGTAATATCCCCGTTAAATGATGACGGAAGAAATTGATTGGAGGAGAAGAGAGAGGAATTTTGCTCATTGCACTTGGTTTGCGAACCCATACTTCAAATTTATTGAATCGTTGTTTGACAACTTGTTTCCCGTGTGAGCTGCTTAATGACCTGGCTGTTTGGTCATGAGGTGCGCCCAGACTCCGGTGTCAATGACGGAGTAGAATACTCCAAAGTCTTGCTTGACTTACATTGAACCTCGTTCACTGTTCCCTTCCTTTATTCATTCCATACCCTGTTAGCTTCTTGCAAGTTTCCTCCGCCTCATTGTAAGCATAGGTATTTTATTAAGTACTATGTGCTTATCCTTATATGTGAATAAAGTGTTTAATGGGGTATCTGGGCGACTGATTAATTTAATTCAGAAATTTACCTATCTCTTAGTCTTAGTTTTAAACGGAAACTGTAGTCATTAGCTTCTACGTTAGTTTATACCACACTCAGCGTGGGTTCGTATTCTCATTTTCAAATTTGAATCTTCATCTTCTCATCGTATCATGAAAAAAATAAAGTTGAAAATCGTCCCATAAAGGCAAGATAGGACAGTTAGACATATCAATTGTCAATCAACCTAATTCTTCCGGTAGATAAGATTTTATAAAAACCTTGATGATCTAGTTAAAATGTCGACTGTCATCCAACCCCCAAGAAGGATTAAATGATGTGGAAATGTGTGGTCATAATATTTATAAGTAAATGGGGGTTTTTATTATTGTATGCGTTGTCAAACTCTCAGCAAATGGGGGGGAGGGGGGATTGAATGAGAGAGGGGAATGAGTGAAGTTCCAACTGCCTGTTAGTGCCCGGCTTGTCTACTCCAGTGGCCTAGCTACCAATGTGCCCGTCTACGAAACTCAAGGTCACTTTTGATGTCCATCACTGCATACCCAGTGAGTGGAGTGGTCCGTCACATTGGTTAAGTCTATCTACTAAAATAATGACAAAATTCGAGTTTCTCATTGGGGCGATTTAGGGATGTTATCTCCAGGGTCTTGGAAACTTCTCCTCAGTAAACAAATGCGGTTGGTTTGCATAAATATTATCGAATGTTTATAGACCGACAAATTTTCGACAGTTACTAGTAATAGTAACAAATTAGGCTTCTTCAAATACTAATTAGCAGGTTGTTGAAATTTTAACCTTATTAGAAGTTAGCATGTTCCCATAGTCCGATCGAATACATCATGACCCCTTTTAACTCACCTCTAGTAGGAAAGCTCTAAGGTCAGGGTATATATCGACTCCGCGACAAGAGTAGCACGCTGAAATCCAGTTTTGGTCCATTTTCAAGACCTCATTAATTTGTTATCCTTTAGAATTTAAGTAATTGTTCATCAATGCTAAAGTTCACTCATCAAATTTATGCTAGACTATACCAACAAAAAAGTGACTAGAGTGACACCAAAAATCAAAATTTTTTAAACTAATCGTTATTTTTGAAGTGCAGAATTGGGAGGAAAGCTGGAGAATTCGAATTTTTGCTCATGCTAATTGACATGTAACGCAACTATCATTCAAGTGGGTTTAAGTATAAACTTCAATAGGGAAAAACTCTGTCAGCCGCCCTATAAAATAAATAGGGCAAAATCATAATGCGTATTAAATGGAATTCTCATTTGTTTTCCCTCCTATTGTACATCTGAATCTTTTTCGCCTTCAGATTGAGAATGTTTGTTTGCAAATGGCAGGCATTTTGATAGTCATCCTTAGCCCTTTAGCTGACTTCGGGCTTCACAGAGGGGAGGAGGAACATCAAAGTGAGAAAAATTCGATAGGGGAAAAGAAGAGCGATTCACAGATGTAAAAGAGACAGATGGACACAAAGGCAGAGAAAAGGCTAGATGAGTACTGTGAAGGGGACGAATATGACATACAGTGGGGTCATGGTAGTTTGAAGTGAGAAGTCAACTGCCAGTTAATAGATTTTTTGCCGCATGAGTATATGTTCCCCAGGGTGCATCATGTAGAGGTTAGTCTATCGCACACCCTAAATTGAGAAAATAGATAGAAATAGAAGTCGAGAAGGAAGAGGAGTAAGCGTACAAAGTCGTGTTTTCTCTCAATAAATAAAACCACTTTTTGAAATCCCACTAGCAGTATCAGTTGAAAATTCTCGCACAACGGAGTGGTGAATTGGAAATGAAACAGCCCAACGCTTGGTCTTGGCCTCAAGTACTTATTGGGTCAACTTGGCAGAAATAAATAAATAGCTAAACTATTTGGTAGAGAGAATTTTTTATCACATAAAATTTTTCCTCACATAATCACTCGTAAGACCACTTGGAGCTTAGAAACTACTTAAAAACACGAGCACTCATAACTTGTCAGTATTTCATATTGACACACTTGTGGTTCTTATGATATTATGTATCAAGTATCTTCTGACTCAATTGCTTTCTATTCGTTCTATCACGGAGTCGAATCTCAATTTCTTTTGCTTTAGAGGTGCCTGTTAGAGACCTCAAAAATTTAATTAAGCCCGAAGATAATTTTCAAAGGCACTTCATTAACTTGAATGGGTTTGAAATGTGAAAAACGACAATGAAAGACAAATAAATGATCACGAATTGCTTATTGCATTGTGGCGTTTGTCAATGTGTTATGCAATAGCGGAAAATTAATAGATTATGAGATGAGAATGGGTAATATCACTCTAAGAATAATCATTCAATTAATAATTGGCATATTGAACATGGGGGGGGGGGGAATTTTGCCTATATTTTTTCCTTTTTAACGCTATTTGTCATCGATATTTTCAGTTATATTTATTATTTCTTATCATTTCTTACCAATATCGATTCGTGTTTATCACACATTATTACTAAATGACTGAGTTTTCACGAGTGGGAAAGCAGTAGGATAGTTCAATAAAGCGTAAAATGTGGGACATCGAGTTGATGGTAGACCATCACGAGTCTTTTTTATTTGATTTTGTGGATCCTTATTCCAGTACTTTTTACAGTTAGTTGTCTTTACGTGTTGGACGCACCCTTTCAAAACCCCAAAAAAAGTATCTAAATAAGTGAGCAGTTAAGAAAAACATCGTTTGAATGATGTCGGGTAGAGGGGAGGTTGAGTGAAGTCAAATAATCAGTACAGGATTTACTTGACTTCATTCTGGGATTCAATTTGTGCCTTTTTTACTAAATGGGAAAATAGTTCGAAGCTCAAATTTCATGTCTCCTTCATTGGACAATATTGATTTGTGGGACACGTCATCGCATGCGCGTACACATAGGCTTGAGGTGCGGCCGTACAACTTCGCGTACTGATTGAGGACAAGAGCACGCAGCCAATAGCAGCTCAAGGGCCCCTTTTTTGTTTTACCGAAGGCCGCCATGTTGTATGACTGAGTTTCCTTCCTGTACACTTATTGCGTGGTTTATCTAGAATAAACGTGCTCCGTGCTAAACATCTGTTTCCTTTATATGCAATATACGTACCGAATAAACGCATTTCGTGCTACACGTCAGTTTCCCTTATAGCTG